AAAAGCGGTAGACATCATCATTAGCTTCAAACTATTGCACAACGTTTTGGAATAGTTGAAAACAAATTCATCTGTTCGATTTCGAGTAATATGCAAAAATCACATCCATAAAATATTTGTCAATGTGACTTCGGTTGCTTAGGTAACGTAATAATAACAATCTTTTATGGAAAAACTATCACGTAAGTGGTTTTCATAGAATTCCAAACGTAATTTAACGGAGATGATCAAGGTCCAGACATATCTTCAAACCAGATAGTTTATATATATTTATAAAGCACTGATTTTTGTCATGGGGTTGTACCCCCTCCTGAGAGTCCCGCGCACCTCTCCCTGAGAAAAAAAAACTGGATACGCCCTTGTAACAGTATTTCAAATGCCACTCATGACAATTAGTTTAGTTTAGTTTAATTGAATTCGTCAAGCAAACATTTACAAACATTTACAAACATACTATAAAATTACATCAACGAATGATCTGCTGACAGGTAAAAATAACAGGACGAAAGTCCCAATTGACAATTTTTACCCCCCAAAAATAAAACATAACTTAAATCCTTACAAACACTATATAATTAGATAAGGTGTCAATTTAGTTCTAGCTATGAGTCTATGGAGGACGGTACAAAGTTAATTTAAAGTAAAATAAAAATAAAGTAAAATAAGTGAATTTCCTTTTGAATGTAGTTATATTATTAGCCTTTTTAATGTCCGTTGKCAGAGAGTTCCATAGTGTAACGGTTCTGGGAAAATAGGACTGGCGGTAATAGTCTTGAGTGTGGTGAGAAATTGGCTATGGTTTGTAGAATCAAAGTTGCGTGTATTATATTATTATATAATTAAGCTTCATAGCACTATAATTGAAAATGACTGTATGTTACATTATTAGTTCTCCAGGATATTAGAATTGCAATAAAGAAAAGGTCAGAAAACATTTCGTTACATGGATTATGTATAACTGTGACCAAGGTCAATGAACAAACTCGTACTCGTGACTCGATGAAACCTGTTGACAAAAAGAGTGGCTGCATGTGATGTGTAAGCGGTTCATGGGCGTCTAGTCAAAACATGCTCATTCTTTATGTTTTAATTACTCTGCGGTTTAGAATATTAAGCAAGGAATATAGGATTCTTTAAATCGTTGATAATTTGTTTATTATAGTGATGTCCATCAAGTGTTACCAGTGTACCAAAACAGATGGCAATTGCAATGACAACAACAAGGAATGTGGTACATCTATATTGAATTACGATCGCTGCTKAAAACTCAAAGTGGGCRATGTATTCACAAAGMAATGTTCCACCAAACTACTCTGTGACGCCATGAAGTTTTGTGACGGAAAAAACGAATGTACAGCATCTTGCTGCGACTCTGATGGGTGTAACGCCAGYTCCGCCTTGGCGCCCACGTTCGTCCTGGTCTGTGTTGCTGCTATGGTGACCAAGTATTTCATGTAAAGACAGGATACTTTCACGCTTTTTAACATTTTTTTTACGCACATTATTTACACCGTAATTAGGTAGTTAGTGATGAAGAAATAAGGGTCTTAAGATTTAATAGAACCTTGTTAATCTTTTTTTAACGTTTGTTTTAATTACGTAATGGTCCGAGTAAAAGTAGGCAAGCAAACGGCAATGGAATGCCGGAAGGTGCTAATTGTGTATTGTATAATTCATCCAT